AGGTAGCTTTTAGTCATTCTATTTAGAGGCAGGTTGAGCAAGTTCACCTGTTCCTCCCAGTCCTCATGTTTGTTCAGGCCTGAAAGATGTCAGACCTAGGTGTTTGAAAAAATGGCAGGTCCTGACCTATGGAAAAGAGAAACTAGGTCTGCAGTCCCTGGAATGTTCTGCACCACCAACATCCCTCACTCTGCATTTGGTTCACACGTTGGGGAAAAGGGCAGAACAGCCACCTCAGACCCTCCTACCCATGGAAGGATGTGTCCCAGGTGGCAAGTGCTGGCACTGTTGGTCGTGGCCTGGGTATCATCACACTGTCACACACAGCTCACCAGGACTCCCAGGCACAGGTCACTGTTTGCTGGCTTCCCCTTGCCTGAGTGCTGAGGAAGAAAAGAAATCAAACATCCACTCATTAGCCTTGTGTCTCTAAGTGATCCCTGGCTTTGGAATGCCTTCCCTGGCTGCTCCAAGGCCGTTTCCCAGCTGAGCCCCCAGGGTTGGGAAGTCTGGGAAGCTATCTGTGTGGCTTGGGAAGGTGCCTCTTTCTCCATTGCAGGAATTCTCCACTGGAGAAGCATCAGTGTTCCTCGGCCCCTGCCAGGGTTGGAGGGTGAAGAGTTCAAAATTGCAAAACGGGGGCAGATGAGCAGGACCCTCTCTGGTACGGGGGAGCTTCTCACAGGACAGAAAGTCAGACAACAGGCTGCTGCCAGCACTAGAATTGGGAAGCTGCCCAGAGCCCTGAGTAGGGAGCTGAGAGCAGGACTTCTTGGGAGGGGTCCTGCCTCTGTTCCACAGTATGACCTGGAGGGTGGCTGCCTCGCCCAGGTCACTCAGCTGGTCCGGTTTGTGTAAGCACGAAGGGCTCTAAGACACTGACCCCCCATATGTTCCTCACATGTTGCTCTCATAGAGAAATATCTGACCTCCCTGCTCTGGACTTGTAGGAATATCTGAGTGAAGCTTCTAGTATTCAATTCCAGTCCCAAATATTAAGTAGGTTGTGCTACTCCTCCAATGCTCTCAGACCAGCAAACTGAGACCTAGACAGAGAGAGGGGACTCAGCCAAGACTCCTGCATTTTCTCTGTCTCCCTGGTCAATGTTTTCTTCACCACACCTGTGATCTTTCTCAGTGGAGAAAGAAATCCAGCTTTATTACCTATTTAGCCTTATTTTTTTAAGAACCTGTAAGGCTATTAAAAATAAACTGAGGCTGGTTCTTGAGTCAGATAGAACCAGATTTAAATTCCATCTCCACCACTTACCAAGCGCAATAGAGTAAATAGCCTGTGGGCAAATAATTTGCAATCTGTAGCTCTAGATGCCTTCTCTGGAAACAGCACCTCCATCATAAAGTGATGTGAAGATAAATTAAGATAATGTATGTAAAGAGCTCTGCATGATGCCCAGCAGGTAACAAACACTTGATAAAAGCTAGCTTTTTTTTTTTTATCGTTGTTGTTAGTATTTTAATGAATATGTAAGGCAATTGATAATTAACATTTAGATTAGTGTTACAGTGAAAGCTCATTACCTGTATTTGGATATACAGGGATGAACTGAAAAATGTTTTTTTATCCACTAAGCCATTTAAATTTCCACTTTGAAATTTTCTGTTCTTAATTGGTTTTTAATTAGTTTAAAGAGTTAGCAGGCAAACTCCAAACACTAAGCTTCCACCAACTCCTTCACAGATCCACCCCTTCCTAAAACATTAAACTATAGTACAGATCATCATAGGTGCTCAATAAATGTTTTTGGATGCATGAATTTATGGATGGGTTAATGGATGGATGGATGGATGGATGGATGGATGGATGGATGGATAAATGAATGATGGATGGATGGATGGATGGATGGATGGTTGGATGAAGATAGATGAATAGGTGGATGATGGTTGAATGGATGGTGCTAAGACAGTAGCACCATGAAGTAACCACCTTTGGCTCAGACTGGATAGTGGTCTGGTTTCATGAAAAGCCATAATGGAGAGTCTGAGGGACTAGAATAATATGGTGAAGGGCCTAGAGGTCTTGGTGCAGACAAACAGCAGGTGCAGTGGAAGGAAAGGACATAGAAGGAAAGGTTGTGGTCAGAGACTGAGATGGGATAGTGTGAAATCCTAGAGTAGGAGTAGTTCCTGGTGATAAAAGGTTCAGGAAGCAGCCAGGGGATGGGTACCTAAGACAGAGGAGTTCTGGGGGTCTTTAAATCCAGTGAGTTCTAGGAACTCTGAGTCCAGATTATTGGATGGGTGATTCACATGGTCTTTTATGCAATTCCAAGCTAGGATTAAAGTGACCTCAATTAATGAGGTTTTATTCTCTATTCCATCAAATTGCTCCATGGAAGGGAAGGGGGGTTTCTTATCTAAAACTGAATTAAATATAAATAATAATCATGCACTGAACAAAGGTATTTATTTATAATTGTTGCCTTATTTTTACCTCAGTGAGTGAATGGTGTTGTTGCTTAAAGGGGTGTGCGTGTATGTGTGTGTATGTGAGAGATAGAGACACACACACACACACATACACACACACAGAGAGAGAGAGATAGAGAGAGAGAGAGAGAGAGACAAAACGTTCATCACGTTGTTTTGTTGTCTGACCTTTTCAGCGTTTTAGCTCCAGGCCAGTTGTGGGGCAACACTGGGAATCTTGTAGAAATTATATATAGCAAAATGTCACCAGCAACCAAAGACATTCTGTTCCTCCCCACCCAGTCCAAATACTTGAAATTCACAATAAATTTTGGCTTGGTGAGCATGGCATTATATTTGTGCATGGGAGGTTTTATTTATCATTTCTATTCATAGTGCAAGGAAAAGAGGGCTGGATGGTGGGTGGGGAGACACAGTGAGCCCCCCACCCGACCTCCATTAGCATTTATTCTGTGATTGTGAATAAGAATTGTGGCCAGAATGGCATTTGTGTTTAGCATTTTACGGTCTAAAAATTACCCTCAGGCTTCAGTTAGTAATACTGTATTGTATAGTCGAAATTTGCTAAGAAAGTAGATCTTGAGTTTTCTTACCACACACAAAATAGTAACTATGTGAGGTGATGGATATGGTAATTAGCATGGTTGTGGTTATCATTTCACATTGTACACATATATCAAATCATCACATTGTATACCTTAAATATATGCAATTTGTATTTGTTAATTATGCCTCAGTAAAGCTGGAGGAAAACTTTACCCTCAGCTTTTAACCCTCACAACAGTTCACAGATGTTGGCCAGGCAGATATTGTTGTGCCCATTGACGGATGGGAAACTGAGGTAGAATAGAGAGGTGAAGTGACATGTGCAGGTAACTCAGTTGAATGTGGAGAGACAGGTCTGGCCTATGGCCTTCTGACCCACGCCCAGCACTCTAAGCACTGGGCTGTGGCAAGTCACTGCCCCTGTGCTTCCGCCCCTGTAATATGAATCCATCTCCCAGTCCTTCCACCAACAGCCTTTACTAGCTAAGGTTCTGGAAGGACCATGACAGGAACAAATATTTGCCCACCCATTGGTATTTCTGCTGGAGGGCGTAAGTCATGCACAAAATTATAAGGTTGGAAAAAATGTTTTGTGGGCCATTTCAGTGCTCCTCACGCCTTCATAGCCACCAACCTCATCAGAAAGATACCCCGAGAGCACAGGAAGCCCACCGAGCATGTGCCCCACCCACCCTCTCTAACAAGGTAAAAAATCTTTCCACAGCTGGTCCCAAGCTGGTTCCAAGCCTATAAGTCACACTCAGTTGGAAGGGCAGGCCACTTCTACCTGTTACATGCCCTGACACCTCTTATGGATCAATCAGGACTTTTTTTTCTTGATGACATGACCTCAGATACTGTTACTCAGTCACAAATTGACCCATGAGATGAAGCCTATTTTTATCCATGTATTAAGTAGTTTTTAATAATCCATACTACATTTGCTTCCAGAAAGACTAAGAAACACAAACAAAACTACCAAACACCAGGATCAAAGAGCAAGAATGGAGTAAAGGGGAAATCTGTGTGCAGAAGCCCAGGCTGAGGTGGCCTGTTGCAAATGAGCAAAAACTTCACTCTCAGCTTCCTTTCAGGCAATGTTAAAAGGAAAAATAGGTTACAAAACTCTAACGAACTCAGTCATTTTTAAGGGAAGGCCATAAAATCTAGGAGGCAATGCTAGCATGGATTTTAAATAAGGCATATCAAGCATCTTAATGGCCATTGTCTTCAACCACAAGGCATTGTTTCTCAGGGTTCTCTGGGCTCTCAGAATCAGAACCATCTGGGGTGTTTGTTCAAAATGCAGGTTCCTGACCCCATCCCACACTCACCGAGTGAGACTCTGTGAGATGGGCCTGGTGACCTGCTTTTTAAACAAGGTCAGTCACTGACTCTTCTACACCTGCAAGTTGGAGAACAATTTCACCAAGATGTTAGTAGATAACAGTGTCTTATTGTACTAGCCTTTCCTAACCATCTTTTCATCTTACCAGAGAACAATGCCTGGTGCCAGAGGAGTCTCTAGTGGAGGAACTCCAGGTGTCAGGGTCCAGCAAGAGAGATATTTGGAGGATGCAGGGGCTCCCCACCTACTTGTGGTGGGGAAGCTGGTCTGTCTGCATGCACTTGGATGTGGAGTGAGCTTTCTTCTGGGATCTCAGGTGGCCACAGGCTACAGAGAGGGCAGGCCCCTCCTTGGCCCTCTTGTCACTCCCAGGGCTGGCCATGGAAGCCATGGAAGCCACCAGCACAGCTTAGCTACAGTGATGCTGGCTTGGCTGGCCACCAAACCCAGGGTCCTACTCTCTCCCTTCACCATGCTCATCCATGATAGGGCAGGCAGAGCTCCAAGCCCAGGAGTCCAGTGGCAAAAACACAGATGAAGGAGCCATGCCACTTCCCACCCCCTGGCCTGCTCCTCCCCACCCCACGGTGCAAGCTGGGATCTGTCAGGGATCTGCCTCAGGGAGGCAATCATGGGTTCTTCCTCTCCCTCCACACAGGTTTGGAATAAATTGCCTCATCCAATTTGAAGACTTTGCAAATGCCAATGCCTTCCGCCTTCTCAACAAATACCGCAACAAGTACTGCATGTTCAATGATGATATCCAAGGTAGGTTTCCACCCCACCTGATGAAGCCACAGGGGACTAACTTATATTCTCAAACCTCACTGGGATGCCAAAGGGGTGGGGAAGGGCTGTCACCTCATAGCTGGTTTGCTGCCAGCAGCTGTTGAAGAAAGAACATTCAACTTAGATTCAACTCCTACTTGGCTAATTCTTAATTCTTTGAATTCAGTTTCCTTTTTTACAAAATAAAGATCATTACTACTTCAGAGGTAGGTAAGAATTATGTAATTTAATGTATGTAAGAAATTCTAAACAATACTGTAATTTACTAGCAAGGTAAATGTGAACCAGTCAATTCTCTGACCACAGTTTCATCATCTAGTCAATAGAGAGGATGATAACAACTGCCTTGAAAGAGCATGCTGAAAATTTACAAAGCTAATACTATAGAAAGTACTAACCCATAAAACTCATCAGACAAAGCATCAATCACCATAAAAATGGCCTTCCTCAACCATAATAACTTGCTTTTAGGCTTTCCAAATATAAGGCATGTCTCAGTCGGGAAGTCAGGACAATTCCTTCTCTGGTTTTGACTGAAGTGTTTGTTGCTCATAATGACCCTGAGAGAGACACTGACACCAGGAACCCAGAGCCTTCCAAAGTCAACATGAAGCAGCTTCTAGTTCAGGTTCCCTTTGGTCATCTATTCTGTGACCCAGAAATATCTGAAGGTGCTTGCTTCTTACTGTGGAGTTACCAGTGTCCGAAGCTGGAGTGGAAAGGGATTCATTTCACTTGATCTAGGAGTGCACAGGAAGGAGCATTGTGAGCTGTTCCTAGCATTTTGTAAAGTCCAAGAGAAACCTTGATGATTTTTTAACAAGTTTGCGAAGCAATCTTTTTAAACCAAAGATCCATGTCAGGTGGAAAGAATAAGTTGGCAAGAGACAGGTATTGGCCCTGGATTGTTAAAGGTTGGCCAACTTCTCATTTTACAGATGACTTCTCCAGAGGCCTGAAGAGGTCATAACTTTTCTTCAAGTGAGTCAGGGATAGATCTCAGAGAACTCAAACTCAGGTAATAATAGCTAAGATTAATCGCTGAATGCTTATTGTATATCGGGCTCTGTTCTAAGCACTCTACACTTTTAAACCGATGAGACATTGGCATCTCTGTCTTATGAATGAAGACACGAAACAGAAAAAGAGTAAGTAACTTTTATAGCCATTAAGCATAGAGTTGAGATTTGGGCCCAGGCATTCAGACTCTAAATTGCAGTCTATAACCATTCACCATGCCACTCCCAGGTCTTATATTATAAACTAAGTTGCCTTTTTTTCCCCATTATGGTCCATATTACAAAGTATAAGAAATGTGATAGATGATTTTTTGTATTTGTCATAAATTTTCAAGAGGCAAGATAGTACAGTTAGAACACACTATTAGAAAATTGAGTTTAAAATATATGACTTCAGTGCCTGAAGAGTGGGTATCCAGAGAGAGGGGAGACACAAAAGGAGAAAGCTGGGACATAGCACTCCCTGCCAGCCTGTCTCCATTCTGTCTCTCCTTTACCCTGCTGTATAGACCTGGGACAGGCATTGGCTGAGCTAGGCCAGCCTCACCCACATAAGCCAGGACACAGCACAGATGGGACTGTGCAGTCCAGGAAGATGCGCTGGTAGAGGGAAGCATTTTCTCACTGCCCTCATTCACCTCAGTGTCAGATCAGCAGGTGGGAGTGTGCCTGTGGCCCTGAGGAAGCACCTGCCTGCTAGACCCTGACTGGCTCCCCAGCATGAATTCACCCATGAATCAGCAGAAGGACAGCCAGTCCCCTGAGCCCACTGGGCTGCCAAGGCCAGAGGGTGGAAGTGGAAAACAAGTCCATGCAGGCAGCACACCTGGTGCACAGCCTCCAGCTGTATAGACACACAGACAGCCACATGTGTATACATCCTCCTAAACACAGGCACAGGAACACAGCCAGGCCCTGCAGCCCCCCAGCCCCATCCGCCCCTGCACTGCTGCCAGAACGTGCCTCGGAGATGAAAGTATCAGTCACCATGCCACCCTCTCTTCATGAGAAAGTTTGCACCCCTTCAATGAAAATATAAGACTTCGGGATCTCTCCTCTGCTCTCTGCCCTTCCTTTTATTTTACTCCTCTCACCTCCTTACCTGCCATTTCTTTCTGTGTTTGAAAGCCCTGCTCGCCCTTTCCCATCATCTTTACCTGAGTAACTCCTACTCACCCTTAAAGACTCAGCTCCAGGGTTTCCTGCCCAGGGAAGGCCCATCAGTCTGATTTGGGTATCCCTCAGGTGTCCCCCTCTGTCAGTTCTCTTACCTCATTGCACCCCAAAAGCCTGTAATGCATTGTCTGCCTTCCCAGAAGATAATAAGCTTCTGGAGGCAGGAACAATTGCCTTATCCATTCTTGTTCCCCAACTCCCAGCACTGCGCTTGCTACATGATAGACACCTAATAAATGTTTAAAGAATATACGAATGATGTCTACACACACAAACTGACATCCTCATAAGCACACTCACCTGTTCATGTGGGTGTGTCTACACTGGACGCCTGCCCCTGCAGCCTCTCTGTTGTCCAGGTCATCATTCATGTACAGCTGACCCTTGAACAAGGTGATGGTTATAGGTGCCAACACTCCACACAGTCAAAAATATGCATAACTTTTGCCTCTCCAGAAACTTAGCTACTAAGAGCCTACTGTTGACCAGAAGCCTTACTAATAACATAAAAATAGTGGACTAACACATAAATAGACTTGTATCTACCCCTATTTTATGTGTGCATGACATACTTCTTAATTTTTTTGATATTTCTAGGCTACACAGTTCATCTGTGAGTTTTTTCAAATTGTTAGAAACCTCCAAAATTTTAAAAAATATATGTATTGAAAAAATCTGCATGTAAGTGGACTCACGCAGCTCAACCCCATGTTGTTCAAGGACTGATTGTGCTCACACATAAATGCACCTCTGCACATGCTCATACATATTCCCATGTGTAACCCCACATGCAGACACAGAGAGCTGTTTGTTTTTAATTAAATCAATTCATTTGTTTACATTCATTGGTTTTTGCGTCTTGCCTCTACAGTCAATTTTGCTCCCAGGCAAAACCAAGTGGGATAGTTTTCTGGGTCCCAGAGCAAAGAGAAGAGGGATTTACTATTCTTTTCTCAGAAATTCAAGACTAAAGCCATCAATCTAGAACTCATGAGGACAGCTGGCAAATAGTGCTGGAATGGCAGGAGCCCTATAAGAACCAGCCTTTGATCAGCTCAGCCTGATGTTTAGGTGTGACCATATCATTAACAACCATGAAGAGGTGGGCATGGGCATGCACCACCCAGATCCTCCTTCAAGGAAAGACTTGTTGCCCATCTGACAGCAGGCTGTCAGCACAATCTGCAGAGCCTCAGAGAGAGAGAGCCACCTCGCCACCCCACCAGGAGCTGGCCTCACCAGTGATGAGGGAATATAAAGGCTTAACTATTTTAGCCCAGTGCAGGACAACTCAAGCTCCCCATGGAGTTGACTGAGGCTTTGGGGCCTGCATCCCAGCTCAACTTCCCCTCAACCCATTCTGCTTCCTTCCCTTCCTTCCCACAAGGGCAATTCCTAAAAACATCCTGAACACTCCAGTATATCTCAGAATCTGCGTCCAGGGGACCCAAACTGTACCAACTAACATTTTGCATGCACATAGAACTTTAGGTTGAAAGTGCTTTTCATCCTCACTATCTTACAAGTGCCTGGCAACATCTCCCCCTCCCTCACTGGGGGACAAACACAGCTGTCCCATGTCACTAATGAGGAAACTGAAGCCTGGGGGTTAAAGGTTGCTCACGGCCACACAGTCAGACAGACACAAAGCTGGAACTGGAACCCCATTATGTCTGACTTGGAATTCTCCACTCTCTCCATGGCATCAGGCTGCCTGTTGCTCCTGCACGTGTGAGGTGGTCGAGGGTATCTTCTCGTTAAGGATGAAATTCCAGACCCTGCTGGAACAGTGCGGGTGTTGCTGCTCCCTGGCATCCTGCTGCTCTCATCCTGTCCTCCCCATCGTTCCCATTCCTTCCTCTAACTCCTACAGAATGCAGACCTGAAGATGAGGCCCACGGTCCCAAGCTGGTTAGGGATGAGTCCAGACCAGAAGCCTGTAATGTGTGTTCTCATTGTTAAATGGACAATGAGAAGACTAGTAAGGAATTCCAGTACTAATGAGCCAACACGGAAGATACAGCCCATGCTGGAATTGTCCCCCTTTATCTCCAAATACAAAGTAAGGAGCAATGCCACTTAAGACTACAGGCCATGCTCATAATGGGAGAGGAGCACCTCCATGCACAGAACCACAGAAAGTTGGGAGTGAAGGGGCGAGAGGGAGTGTGGGAGGGAGGAGGAAGCAATGCAGAATCACAGTTGTAAACAGAAACCAAATCACACCGCACGTGGGAGCTGGAGACAGATTCTCAGAATCTTCTTGGGAACCACACATGGAGGGGGCTGGAACCGAGCGACCCACATGAAAATGAGACTAGGGTCATGCTACCTACTCTGACACCAGCCTAGCCTTACATCCTCAGTGGATAGATAGAATTAAATCCTCGAAAGCTCCACTCTACTGACCTCCCAGAGGGCAGGGCCACGCCTGGTGCAGATCAGGAGCCCAGGGCACATTATTTGACTGTCTCCCAACCAGTCCCACTGTACCATGTGCTCAGAATCACTGACCCCACAGGGCTGGGCCTCTGGAGCCCCAGCACTTGAAGGAAAGAGAGATCGCCAGGGCTTCTGATCATCTTTGCCTCCCGCCCCAGCTCAGACCCACATAAAGCCTCGGCCCAGGCCCAGGCTGGTCCTTGGTGATCAGAGCCGCCAATGCACTGACTTGTTGCTGGCAGCCTCTCAGGAATTTTGGAAAAGGCAGAGGCTCAGGTGACTTTTGTTGTTTCAGCTGGGACCAGAGAAGCATCTCTGCTCTTAGGGAGGAAAGAAAGACCT